AAAATGTTATCAATCCACCTACTGCATCCTGAGCTCTTTGAAGACAGGGAATATAAATGAATTATTTTTTCAGTAATAACCATTCCACATAATCTTTAATTTTAAAAAACTTATTTTTAAAAATGGTTGCATTGTTATATGGAAATATATTCTGGTTGGTTAAGGTGCTGTTCAGGGATATGTGGTGGAAATTTCATCTTGCATACTCTGTACTTGTATTTGCAACTGACAGTTCTCATCCTGGAATGGATGAAGCAATTGATTTATAGGTATAACTGAGTGGATGAAGTCTGATGGCTGATTTAGAGTTCAGTTCTTAGTTGTTTATTTCAATATTTTCAAAGCTCTATACAAGATTGTGCTTTATGTATGCTTCTGACTTGGTCATCCTTTCTGAAATCCCTATCTTTATAGTTGAAGGGATTGTTAAATGAAAGGATCATTTATCTGATTATGTCCTGTGAAATGCATTTATGGTATTTGTATATATATCTTAGTTTTTTGTTTTGAGGAAAAATAATGAAAACATGTGCACAGAGATCAGTATAGCTGTGTCATTGTTTTTTGTGATCTTATTATTGCTTTTACTTCTGGTAGTTTCCTTTTTTGAAAAAAAAAAAAAATTGTGACTCATCAGCTGTGTTCACATAACATGCTTACCTCCTGTTAATTTAATTGTGGTTTATTAACCCAGTGCCATAGTAGGAAAATTAAGTGTATCTCAATTGTATGTATACATCACATTTACACAAATTGCTCTTTTACTAGTATTTATACATTGATTTGATGTAGATTCCTTAAAACGAATCTTGACTTTATAGCTGGTTTAGTCTTTAAGAAATTCTTTACCTGCTAATCACAAGATTTGGGGGAGTTTTAATATAGATTGTAATTAAAAATTGTAGTAGGTTCTTTTGGATATAAAACCTTTTTTACCCTGAAAAATTTGGAAGTAAGAATTGTTAATTACAGTTGCTCCCAGCCCTGTTTAACTCAGCAGGAAACAGGCACATGGTTACCTTCATAAATTAACTTTCTAAAAAATTCTCAAGGGAATGGACTAAGAAACTGCTGCTTCCTCTTAGACACATCAACTTGTTCACTCATGCTTGTTCCTTTTCTGTTCTGGATTGTTCCAATATATGAGCGCAGAAGTTTTGCATGCAAAGGCTAGCCACACTTTTTCTCTTATGTTAATTTGGAAAGTGAAATGTACATTGTTGGAACTTTATAGTAAATGCAGAAAAATAAGCACTGCCAGGAGAAACAATAATTGCTATAAAATCATTTAATTTCACTGATAGTAAAGCCAAATTGCACTACCTCTGGAAAGTTTGAAATCAGGGTGCGCTATATTAATGGGGGAAAAGATCTGGAAGAATAATTATGATTTTGGATACAGTATTGTATAGAGGATGGGTTTTAAAGCTTTTTTATACCACAAAACTTGTTAAAAACATTTTTGGAACCCCTGATCAAGGGGGAGGGGCTTCTGAATGTCAGCTGAGAAGTCTAGCCCCTTTCCTTCCCTTTTCCTAAGGGAAAAAAAATTCTCCACAAAGGGCTAAGGAAAAAAAACAACTCTCCAAGAGACTAAAAGGGTTTTTTTCCTCTTGTTTCATGGAATCCATTCAAGTCCTTGCAAAATCCCAGTCTGAAAAAACCCAGTATAAACTTTAATTTAGAAATTATTACAGGAAAGTTGCAGATGCAAGAATAAAAAAATCTTTATGATAATTACAGTTTTCCTTATGATGTATTTAAGAACATAAATATAGTATGTAAAAATGGGGAAATAAAGTCATGTAGTAGGTAAAGTATATGCTGGTCTATTTGGTACTTTGTTGTTGTTTTCTAATAGTCATAACCTATATTCTGGAGGCAAGAATGCAAACATCGTAACACATAACATTAAAAACCAAGGAACTGATTCTTTGAAGAATTAGTTATTGTACAAACCATATTTGTGATCTAAATAAAGTATGAGTTGTGTGTAATATCTAAGTCTGTTTAGTCAGATTTTTTCAGTACTACTCTAATTTAAGGATGCTTGGCATATAGTGCATATATTCATACATTTTAAAGACAGTTCCTGATCCAGTTATATTTAAATATATGTTAAATACATGTTTGTGTGTACATGTTTTATATATGCTATGCTTTTTGTATTTATAAGGCCATGTAAAAGCCAAACTTATGAGGTCAACTAAATGATTTTAGGATTTTGTTGTCATTCAGGAAAATATAACTGGCGTGATAGAATTAGAATACAGTACTGATTCAAATTTTGTTTCTAAACTGTCAAAAGAATAATACCAGTGCTTTGTTTTCTAGTGCAGTGAGAAGAGATAAAGAAGGCTAAGGCTTGACTTAGATGCAGTAGTAACTACATAAGTGAATCTGCAGGAAATATACCTGTTTTTCTCTTGCTTACAGTGACTGTATTTGCATGATATGCTAACTGTAAAGGTCAGCAGATGAGTATATGTGTGTTATTGTTTTCCCTCACCACACATTTTTTGTAAATTAAGTCTAGTTCTTTGTTATTCAAGATAGGGACTGTTTCAGATTCATATAATACGGTAGACTTCAATTACAGAGCTGCACGCTCATTATCCAAATTCTACAACTGGTATTTCATGCAAACAAAGTCGATGATTTTTCTTATTCTTCCAGTGTTGACCTAAGGTTCTTTGTGCTTGTCCTTCAACCAAGAATTGGAAACCAGAAATAATATATTGTTTGCAAAAGATGTGAAAACCATGTTTTCTTTATCTATGCTAAAATAAATCAGATTCAATCAGATTAATAAATTAAGGTGCTAATATATTAGGATTTCTTATTGTTTTATCACTGTACTTTGTAATGCTGACTAGCTTAATTCTCCAATCTTATATGTGACATTGCATGAGAATATAAATTATTTTTAAATAGTTCATTTCTAGTGTAAGCCTTTTTCCCCAGAGAGATGAAGCATTATTACATGTTTACCATAGTAATAATATATATTTTTCCTTTAGAACTAAAAACATCAGTATTTGATGACTGTAGAAAAGAAGAAGAATGGAAGGTAAGAAAAATTATTGAACTGGTTTATCCATGATTTGTATAGTGTGTTTTTAAAAGCATTTATTCAAGGCACATCTCAATGTGTAGTTGAAAAAGTTACTCCAATTATAGTTAAATGATAGAAATAATTGGAACTGTTGCAGGTTTTGTAGGAGTATAATAGGTCCATAGTTCTTTGGAGGAAGTCTTGTGGTGGTAACTACTAATCAGCTGCTTTACAGACCACTTGTTATGGAATCTCCATAGAAGTCTCCAATAATAACTCTATGCTTGGAATATCCAGCTAGGATTGCTGTTGGAATTGGGGCTGGAGTAGTAGGAAGTGATAGTGAGAACAGCTACACTGAGGTTGGCTGCAACAGTGGAACAGCATTGCAGTTGGAATTGTAGATTAGCTGCTGGCAGGGCTACCAATCAGCTATTTGGAGGTGCATCTGTTATGGTGACCCTAGAGAAGACCCTCTCCTTCATAGCAGCATGAATGTGATCTGTTCCTGTGACACTTGGTGGGCAAAGTGGATGGACTGCCCTGGTAAATCTTTGTTCCTTCAATGTGTGTGTTGACAATTGAGAATTGTTGCACCTTAGCATGGTGGGATCAGGAGTTATTTGGTAGTCCTGTGAGAATACCAGCCAGCATCTTGTGGCCATGTCAGGATGCTTAAAGGACAGTCATCATTTTATTCTGCTAGTGTCTCAGCGCCCTGAAAGGAGAAGCAGTTATTTCATCTGTTTCAATTAGCAAAGGGAGCTGAGGAAGTTTGATCAGTCCAAACCGAAATGGCCTTGGATACTGCATAGTTGTGCTGAAGCAGTATTATTTTGCCTCCTGGAGTGTAAGGAAAAGTTGGAAATTATTTCTGAATGAACAGTATTTACCCCAACATACAGTTGGCCCTAACCCTACAGGCCTTTAGGAAGGCAGTTAAGACCTGTCCCTTGAGGTCAGGATGAATTGAGTTCCAATTGATGAAGATTTCAATTCTGATTGTCATTTTGCTGTTTCAGTATGTTTTAATAAAATATGTTATTTCTGTATTGATTATGGTTTTCTCTTCTTTGTACACTGCCCAGAGTCACATGGTTTGAGTTGGGCCGCCATATAAATGCTATAATAAACAAACTGTTTTCAGGCATGCTTTGGCATTACAGGTAGTTCTCATTGAATAACCACTTGTTCAGCGACTGTCCAAAGTTACAATGGTGCTGAACAAGGGAGACTTATGATGGGTCCTTGTAGTTGCGGCCTTCACAGTGTCCCTGCAGTCATGTATTGCTATTTGTGACCTTCACTGCCAGTTTCCAACAAGCACAGTTAATGCGGAAACCAGCAGGAGGTTACAAATGGCGATCATGTGACTGTGGGATACTGTGTCTTCACGGGATTCACCCATAGACAGCAACTGGGACTGCTGCAACTGCCACCATAAGTTGGTGCAGTCATGTGATGTCATGCTTTATGACCATGTCACTTAGCGATAGAGTTGCTGGTCCCAATTACCCTTGTTAAGCAAGGACTACCTGTAGCTAGTCTCAGGAATCAATATTTTGGAATCTTAAGAGTTTGGCTAGATAGTTGTGTTGAGAACTTCTCAATATTTCTCTGTAATTCCAAGTCAAAATAAAATGTGAATAGATTATTCAAATGCAATATACTATACCTAGATTTCGGGCAGCTGTTGAATTATTGAAGAGAGATGCATTTACATAGTTGCCTGAAAGGAAGTCCAGATGCTTAATTTGGAAGAGTGTCAATTCTTTTATTATAAGAAGTGCAGTGAAGAAAGATATTGTAGTTATTACAGACAATAATGCCAAACACAGGACATAATTCAGTTTATTATGTGGCAAACAATGTATTTATTTTGTAAGTTAAAACATTTTAACCAAAAAAAATGAAGTATACCTTTAAGATGCATACTCTTTTGAAACAGAACAGCTGGTTTGTACTTAAACAGCTGGATAATATGGTAAGCCAAATCCAATCAACCCAGATTTTTTTTTGTTCAGTGCATGGAATATACAGATTTAACTTTATTCCATCCATTGTAACAGTAGATTTGTGTCTGGACCCAATCATGGCACTGGCTTTTATTTGAAAAGCTTTGGACCAGGATTTTTGATATGCTACCCAATCCCACACATGTATGAATCCAAGCATCTAAAATGTGTTCCATTATTGTCCAACATAAAAATGAGTTAAATTGGCATGGGACTGAGTCTTTTTTTGATACAATGCCACAGTTGTGAAATTACAGTTGGGAGACCTACATGATTCAAATGTAATCTTTTTCTTAGTAGTAGAATCTGAATTGGCAGATCTCTGAGGCAAATATATTCATTAACTTGCTCTTGTGAGACATGTAGTTATATTTTGATAGTGTTTGTTTTTTGATGCAGTCCTGCTGTTGTAAACACATTGGTCTCATTTGTGCATTATGCTAAAGCAAAGATTTAACCACAATTTGTTGAATAAACCATAGTTGTCTGGATTATACAATCCATTAAAACCACATTATAGCTTAGCATAATGTATGAACCCAGCTAACATTAAACACTATACATTATGCACTTGTATTACATATACGCTTGGGAAATTAAAGGTTGGTGTGTTCATTTTTGTCTCTCTTCTAGATATATACATGCATATGGTATATTAGTGAAAAATGTAGTCCTTGCAGTTGACTTCAGTGTAAGCTTATGCTAATATTGATAGTAGATGTAATGGACTGTGAGCATAACCTTGAGGAACAGGAGGGAGAGCCACAGCCAAGGCAACAGTCAGATAAGAAAAATGTGAACCCAAAGCAGGAATGGGATTTGAGAAAGCATCTCAGACTTGACCTTCCCTGGTCCTCTTTAGAATAAAGGAAGGGAGGGGGGAGGCACAATCAGAGTTGTAAGATTCTGTTACTGTAATCCTATAATAAAAGTAGTTTTAGTATTCATGGTGAATCAAGTCTGGTGTTCAAGTCTGGTCTACCTTGAAGGGCTGACAGCATGTTACCAAAAAGTAATTTGAAGTCTAAGATGGTATCCAGTTGTCTGAACTACTGTTTTGATTTTTATTTATGAAGATAATTCTTCTAGATGACTTTACTACTAAGCTTCTGTCATCATGTGGTAAAATGACAGATCTACTTGCGGAAGGGATAACGGGTAAGTATCTGTTAAGCAGAATTAATCATCTTGGCGTAGTTTTGCTAGTTAATATATTTGCAAGGTGAAAACTGCATTCATTTCTGAAGTGATTCGACTTTTACAATTTTATTTTTGTTAATTGTTCTCATACTATTTTAAATGAAACAAAAAGTTGGGGTAATTAAATTTGTACAAGCCTTGATATAAGCTAAGACAGAGCTCACACATTTCACTAAGCTGAACTATTAAGTATGGTTTATTGTATAAAACACAGACAGTTCACAGATAATGCAAAGTTATAAAACATGGTGTTTAAGCCATAGTGGTAGGGTCACCCAGCAAACTAATTTAAAGCAAAACAAGCTATATTATGGGTTTAGAGCAATGCTGGAATGTATCTCATGTTCCATTGTTCATTATGTATTTATTTATTATGCACAATTCTATACAATTAGCTATCTAACAATAGAGATCTGTTCATGTTTAGACATATAGAGCCATGGTTAGACCAAATAGACTTGTGTAGCACTTCAGAGATGAAGAGCAAAAAGTGTTTCAGAGTGTGGGCACTCATATAACACCTGTCAGCAACTGTTAAAGTAGCTGAATTTTTACCCAGGATTGCATGGATGCCCTCTGTAGCTGAAGCATAATCCCAGGAAAAGGTGCATTCAGTTTAAAGTGTGTCAACAGGCAGTGTATCCTTTTGCATGCATTTGGAAGCATTTTTTTCTTCAAAACACTGCACAGCCATGCTACTGAGCTTATTTTCTGACTCTAGTTGAGATAAAGGGCCTAAATCAGAACCAACATTCTTACAAAACATTCTCAGTCATAGCCTCTGTTTCCATGAAGCACTAAGCCCGATCATGGTATGACTTAGTGTTATATGAATATGCTCAAGTGCTTTAAAAAAAAAAAGAAGAAACAGTTTGCTTTGAAAGTAGGACCAACTCTTTAGGCCCCCTCTTTTATGTATCAGTGCTGATCTTAAAAAAAATAGATACCTGTTTTGGAGATTAGAAAGGTCTTTCAATATATTTTTAGGTTTTTGGGTTTTTTTTGGTATTTACCACCTTTTATTAGCAAAGGCAGAGGTTTCTTGTAGACCTGGGATAATAAATAGGGATGTGAAAAACAGTTTGGGTACAGAACAGCTGTTTTTAGGTGGGTTGTGCCCAAACTGAAATATATGTTTGATCCAGATATGGAATGAAACAGGGCTGTTTTGCTCCAGACAGGGATATTGGGAGAGCTAGGTTGATGTAGTGGTGAAGACACCAGGCTAGAAACCGGGAGACCGTGAGTTCTAGTCCTGCCTTAGGCCCGAAGCTAGATGGGTGACCTTGGGCCAGTCACTCTGTCTCAGCCCCGGGAAGGAGGCAGTGGCAAACCATTTCCAAAAACCTTGTCAAGAAAACTGCAGGGACTAGTCCAGGCAGTTGCTAGTAGTCAACACTGACTTGAAGGCATAGAAAAAGGAAAGAAAAGGATATTGGTGATAAAGAGGGGAAGGAAGGCACTGGGAAGATTAGATATGCTGGGGTTGCTGATAATTTACTTCTTTAAAAATGTTCTGCTAAATCAAGCAGGAATCAATTAATCTAATTGACTGATTAAATGATTAAACATTTAAGCTCTAGTTAATAGCATAATAAAGCAAATCTGTCTGTTCTCTCTGATATCTTATGAATAACATCTTCATAGACACAGCTTTTGACCGGATGAATATCTGGGATATGCTTTTACAGGGAATCTGTTTTACCATGTTGTTATATTGTTGGAATTAATGTTGCTGATTAGTTGGATTGTTTTATAATAAATTGTTTGTTGCTTAGAATTTTTTAGGAAAGTCAGAATAATTAAAAAACAGAATACTTAAAAAAAAATCTAGCAGCTTGTATTTTAGTACATCTTGTATTTTAGTCCATTATATATGTTGGTATGTTAAATTTTGCATGCAAGTGTATTTAGGGTGATTCTTGTAATTAATATTTTATTTTGTAGCTGTGGAGAATGTTTACAAAAACCGTGAGCCAGTCCCTCACATGAAAGCCATTTATCTCATTACACCTACAACAAAGGTTAGTGATCAAAAGAATAATTCTGGGTTCTCATCATTGTCTCTGCTGGTTGGGATTTCTGGGTGATAGTTCAGCAACATCTGGAGGGTTGGTGGTTTCACCACCCAGTGTTAAACCGTAATTCAATACTTTGAAAGTAAAACTTGAGCTTACATGCTTCTTTCTTCTTGTATGACATGTGCTAGAGGAGAGTTCTAGAAGCATTCTTTTCTGCATTTTTAATTAATTAGAGTTATTAATAGCATCCAAACTTAGTTCTATTAATTTACATCGTTATGTTAACATAGGATTTTAAACTACAATGTTATTACAGCTTGTTTGTACAAGTACTAGTCGTAAGTGTGTTGTCTTTCCCCCTTTTCTGTATGCTGCTTTGCCATCCAAATAAAACTATATAAATGAGTAATAAATTCACAAATGTACTTCGTTTGCCAATTTTTTGTGCTCTTCCTCTTTTTTTCATCTTCACCCTTACCTTGAAACTCCTTGCATAAGGAATAATAACCTGAATGTTCATATCAGACTTATTTTAACAGTTTCTCAGCTAGCTATTGCTGGAGAAGTTTTGCTTAGAAGTATATAATTTATTAAATCTTTTTACAGCCTTGTTCTAAGAGCAAGCAAACAGTTTTTAACAAATAATTTTTTTTCTTCATGATTCAGTCTGTAGATGGACTTATAAATGACTTTATAAGTAAATCATCCAGCAAGTACAAAGCAGCATATGTCTACTTCACTGATTGTGAGTATTTACTGATTGAGAAAATAACTGATCTTCAATTATAGCTGTTGGTGTAGCCAAGACAATGGCATTTTAATTTAATATGAAAATTGGGGGCCTCGGGATGATTCCTAAAGAAGGAGCATTTAACAGTTTGTAGACTATCTTAGGGTGGTAGCTACATTATTGGAGCTTCACATGACAGAGAAGAAATTTGTTTCCAGAATTGCTTTATTTTATTTTGGGAATCTATATACTGCTAGCATGGCTCATTAGAGTTTGCATGTCAACTTGGAACTACAGTGGTGTACAGAAGAACTTACTCTTGTTCCCTGCATGTCTGCTCATTTGGTTAGCTATTTTGGTGGAATTCTCTAATGAACATATCTTATTGGCTTCATTGTGCTCTGATTGGGGTGTGAAAAAATAGATTCTCTGACAAACTATGATATTCCAATATGAAAATAATTAAATATTTTAGTCTTCAGTTTGGTCTGTTTTTGTGTTTAAAATAGTTTGCAACTATGTATGGAATATTTTACATAAACTCCAAGTATACATGGAAAAATGCAAGACATTTTCATGAGAGACTTGGGTATTTTTAACTTACTGGGTGAGGACATGTAATATATTACAATTGAAATTTTTCCCTCTTTCAGTTTGTGATGACAAACTTTTCAATAAAATGAAGTCATCCTGTTCAAAAGCTATCAGAAGGTGCAAAGAAATTAATATTAACTTCATCCCTTATGAATCTCAGGTAAACTTAATATTGTAAACCTTTATTTTATTTTTAAGTGTTAAATCATCTGCTGCAAAACATGTAGCTAAATTATTTTAAGAAAAGACTGTGCTTATCTTTGCTTAGTAAGGCTAAAATAATGTGTACAAAAAAAAATATAAAATTAGGAAAAATATATAAAGCTACTCAAATCACATCTATAGATCTATTTTTCTTCATATAAAATAAGCACACAAGATTTTTTTAGCATTGCATAAAGCCAATTATGTCTAAATATAAATGGTTTCCTTATGTTCACTTTAGAGGTTTTTTTAGATCACTTGGAGGAAGCATTGTATAGGCAACAACATCTCTCCTCCCTGGTCCTAATTTTTCATTAGCTGTAAAACAATGGATAATTAGGGATTTGTATATCTATTTACATAGTGGTAGGAGCAGTTATATTTCACTGGGCTTATTTTCAAGGTCAGCTGTATCATATTACAACCTTAATATGCATTTTGTTTACGAGAAAACTTGACAGAGTTTTTATGCCCAAATGTTTTTTTAAGTTGAACTGCAAGAGTGGCTCTTAGTTGGCAAATGTGTTCTTTAAATTTAACTTTTGTCTATCCTTCTTCCAAGGAGCTCAGAGTAGTATATTGCTATCTGTGCCCACCTACTTTGTTCTTACAACAATTTTTGAGTAGCAAGAAAGTGACTAATCTACAATCATCTTGTGAGAGGTTTCCCAGTGAATGGAACTTTAAATCCTGATTTTAGTATATGCTTCATTTACTAAACGCTAATCTCTTGACAGTGAGGAGTAATGCATTAGTTAAAGCAGTATATTTTCTGAAAACATTTGGCCTATAATTACCCCTGCAGCAAAATTATTGCATAGTTTATCAATGTTGTAATTATGAATCAGATAAAATACAGTTTAGTGTCAAGCAGTGCTGATAATAACTGTAGACACTTTTAGGAACCTCAGTTGTACGTCAGAGTACCGAAGAGGTTTTGAATATAGTAACCCAAGATCACCTGTAATACATCAATTAGAATGCCTCATTTCAGCACCCAAAGGCACTGAGGGTCTGGATTGGGAAGAACAAATTGTGATTCAACTCTAGTAAGACTGAGCGGCTGTGGGTTTTGGGGCCACCTGGATCTGGAGATCTTTAACTCAGAATGATGTAGAGTTGGTATGCTATCTGGGGATACTCTTGGGCTCATAGTTCCTGCTTGAGGAACAGGTGGCAAATATGGCTGGGAGAGTCTTGGCACAAATCCACTATGTGCATCAGTTGCACTCATTCTTGAATTAGAAGGTTCAGCTCATATTCACTCATGCCTTAGTTACTTCCTGATCGCATTACTGTAGTGAGCTCTACACATGGTGCCCTTGAAAAGCATTCAGAAGCTCCACCGGTTCAAAATGTAGGAGTGCATGCAGTCTTGGGTACATCAGGGTTTGCCCATGTGACCTCACTGCTGCAGTGATGGCTCCCAGTACTCTTCTGAATTCAATTCAAGGTGCTGGTTATCACCTTTAAAGTCCTGCATGGCATGGGGCCAGATTACTTGTGGGACCATCTGTCTCCAGTGGTCTTAGCCTGTCCCACCAGATCTGACAAGGTAGGCATGCTCTGGATCCTTCTCTGAAATAATGCCATCCAATGGGACCCAGGAAATGTGCTTCCTTTGTCACAGTGCCCTTCTCCATGAAATCTGGATGACCCTGACCCTGATGGCCTTCCATAAGACCTGACTTTAACCTCAGGTGTTAAGACCAGGATATTAGTGGAGCCTAATATGTGCATTTTGGTATTGTGAGTTCTTGGTTTTTTTGGACCATTTGTTAGCCACTCAGAGTTTTCTTAAAAAGTATCCATAATAGAGACTACATTCATTTATATTTCTCCTGTACATTTGACATAGATTTCTCCTGTACATTTGACACTGAGGACCTATAGGCTGTAACAAAATTGTTTCTTGACTTAGGTATTTACTCTTGATGTCCCAAATGCATTCTATCGCTGTTATAGTCCCAGCATGGAGAAGACAAATGATAATGTAATGGAGCAAATAGCTGAGCAAATAGTTACTTTATGTGCTACTCTAGAAGAAAATCCAGGGGTCAGATATAAAAGGTAAGACTGGAAACACTGTTTTTTATACCATTGCGGGTTTATTAAGTGGTATGTTAGCTTACTAGAAATGCAATTCTATGCCTAAGCAATTTGGAAGTTAAATGTATTATTCTGGAATTAAGAGGGATCTTAAATTTGTTTGTTTATTGGTTAAATTTCTATACCACTGCTATCAAAATCCATTGAATGTGCAAGAGAGAGAGTTCTGTTGTCATGTTATGGTGTAAGTTAAAAGCCTTTTTTGTCTGTCAGGAAATTCAGGACAAGTTCGGCACAGGGAGATTTTTGTAGCAAAAGGAAAATGTTGAGTGGGATTGTTAATTCAGAAATTAAGATTTCCTAGGGTTCTAGTGGCACCTGATCACTCCTTAACATTTCTTGTTTTCCAAGTTGTAAGGCTTAGGTTAGACAAAGGTACCAACCTAGTCAAGTGACTAATGAATAGTGTTTCTGTGGCTAACAAGCTCCATCCTGTGAACTCAACTGATTAACAGTAAATAACTATAGTTCAATAGCAGAGCAGTTGACATTCATCTGCTCCAGATTTCCCTAATCTGTTACCTTTCAGATAAGGCGGTCTACATTCCCTAATCTACAACAGTTTAAATTCTAATAGTACCAATCTGTATGGACATATGGTCTGCCTTGGTTTAAGGCAACTTCCAGTGCACAAGTATGTGGTATTTTGAATTTCTGCAGAACAAATTATTCTGACTAGTGAGCGAACACTCTTTCAGAAATCCATTAATGACCTAATAAAGTTCAACAGAAATACTTGCATTTTTTTCTTTTCAGTAAACCTTTGGATAATGCCAACAAACTTGCTCAGCTAGTCGAGAAAAAGCTTGAAAACTATTATAAAATTGATGAACGAGGTCAAGTAAAGGTAGAGTGAAAGCTCAGTTTTCTCTCAAATGATAACAGACAGCTTCTTTCTCAATCTCTTGGAAATATAGCTGGGCAAGAGGAATGCTATTATTGCAGCAACTTTTATTACATGGTTTTGAAATATAATCTTAGAAAGGAGGCATTGCTCTTCTATCTACAAGAATATGGAATTGTAGTTCGGGTTAATGAGCTGCAAAAAAAAAACAAGCACAACCAACCAATGGAAAAGAAAAAATAATAGCACTGTTAAGACCATGGAACTTTCAATAAAAAAACTGATTTGGGGATAGCACCATTCTTTCACTGAAAGAACCTACAAAAGTTCCTCACAGATGGAGGAAAGGAGTATCAGATCCTCTTCTCCTTGAATATTATTTTCATTAGTGCACCGTGGATGGTAAGGGAACAACATTTTGGTTTTGCTGTCTGATGTCTTCTTAACATCAGTTTCTATTGCTCTCATTTCTGGAGTTTGCTTTCTCTTTATTTGGGACAGCTATATAGGAAAGAGGCTTAACAGCTTTAGAGAAAACTATATATTAAATAAGTTAATCAGTCTTCTGTTTTTCTTTTTTCTGTATTGCCAAAAACATATGTCAAGGTTTCTTTGTTTTGTTTTTCTTTAGGGGAAAACTAATTCCCAGCTGTTAATAATTGATCGTGGTTTTGACCCTGTGTCTACTGTGCTTCATGAACTCACTTTTCAGGCAATGGCTTATGATCTGCTACCAATTGAAAATGATACATACAAGCAAGTATAATTTTATTTTGACCTTTATATTGTTGATGACAGATTTGCAGCTTCAAACTGCAATAGCTTAAAGATGCATCAGTAAACATATAGTTTTATATTCAAACTCTCTTTGCTATCCTTTATTGCTTGAATAATATCCCAAGAAGGAAAATGCTTTGCAGCACAATCTGACTTTTTTTCTTTCAAAAAGAGGGCTGGAGAGATTCTAGTATGTTATGAATGGTTACAAAATCCCCAGTTTCTGGCCTGCAGCAAGTTCCATGGAAACTTAGCAGTATTCTCATTTAGAGAGGCACAAACCTATGGTAGGTTCTGCACTGGAGGCAGCAGAAAGTCTTCTGCCTAGAGTGGTGGGAGAAAATTGTGTGAACCCTTAGGACAATCTGTAGTACTCCGATCTGAGCACCTACGTCCTGTTAAGATTAAGCCCTAGGATAGTCAGCTCTCTTAAGACAGGTAATTTGAGCCACATGGAAAACACTAAAACAAGAGTAGTATGCACAGAAGGATACCAAAGAGGAAAACATTGTTCTCCAGAAGTCCATTGCTACCCATCTTAAGTTTGCCAAAGACCATGCAGATGATCCAGCAGGCTATGTTTTGTGGGCAGATGAGACAGAGTGGAACTTTGGGCTTTAATGAGAACATTATGTTTGGAAAAAACAAGACATTGTAACAAAATAACTTCACCCCAAATGTGAAGCATGGCAGTGGGAGTACCATGGTTTGAGGCTGCTTTGCAGTCTTAGGATCTAGATGGCTCCTAATCATTGAGGGAATAATGCATTCCGGATCATACTGGCAAATTCTATAGAACAATGTTAGGTTATCCATCCATGAGCGGAAACTTAAATGTATGTGTGTCATGCAGCATAACAATGATCATAACTATAGAAGAATGGCTGAAGCAGAGGAAGTTTTTTGCTTTGGAATGGCTAAGTCAGAGCCCCGGCCTTAACCCAGTTGAAACGTTGAGGCATGACTTGAAGCAAGCAGTTCATGCCAGACAGCCCCTAATTATGAATGAGTTGCAACACTTCTGTAGGAATATACCAAACTACCTCCAAGTCAATGTGTGGGATTGATCAACAGGTGTGGGAAAAATATGGTTGAAGTCACTGATGCTAAGGAGGTATTGCTGCTTAATAAATACAAACGTTCACATATTTTTCCAACAGATACAGCTAATATTGCCTTAATGTGTCCAATAAAGTACACTGCTTTATGTGTTGTTTGTTTGATCAGAATCTCATTATCTATTGATAGAAATTAAATGAAGCTCAGATTACATTGCAGGTCACAGTCCTACAATTATATTATAGATATAATATAATTATAGATACTTCTAAAGGGTTCACTAACTTTCTCTCACCAACATATCATCATTCATTGATTTATCATATAGTCATGAAAAGAATGATTAAGCCTACAATCTTAAAAGCAGTTGCTAGTGATTAACATTTAGAAAGCACAGTGGGATTTACTTCTGAGTAAAGTTGTCTAAAATTATAAAGCAGATGATGTAGGCTAGAACATTTCAGTATCTTAATGTCTAGTGCAGCTCGGCAAGATAGGTTCCTCTATGCATTTCTGTGCATATTTTCACTTTAGGCAAAAAGTAGCCTATATAGTATTCCTTGGGAATACTATCTGCTGATTCCATTGCTGAAATAACACTATTTACAACAGACAAATGAAAAAATGAACATTTATCTTTTATGAAATAAAAGGGTGCAGAAGCCTTGTTTTAAAGTGTTTTGAAACTAACCAGGATTTTCCATTTCTTGAGAAAAGTCATTCCTAATTTCCAAATGTGTTTGAATTTAATTCCCAGAACAGCCAAACATGATTTGGCTAGAGTTCCAGGAGATGTAATCCAATGTATTTAGAGGGCAACAGATCGGGGAACATTGTTCTAGAGGGCACTTTTAATGTAAGCAATACCTTTGGTGAGAGAGTTTCCTCTCTGGCATGATTTAAATTAATGATCAAAAAGCCATTATGGAATTGAAGTACTAATGCAATCTCTCTGTAAATTTGTACTATTGTAATGCAAAGACTGGTTTTCTGTATATTTACTAATAGAGTTTTTGTCCCTAAAGGCAGCTTAAAATAATTTAAATATGTTTTAAAAATGAGACCTATGCAGGTCTCAGATTACACTGTAGAAATCCAACAGTAAGTTGTTGGTATCTATAAGGCTTGTGTAAATCTTTCCAAAGAGAAGTTTAAGAACACAAGGAAGTGGCTATGAAGCACCTCTTTCTGAATTATTAAAACAGCTGTGTCTTTCTCCAGAATTTGCATAGCTGTTCATTATTTGCTCTGGACTCTTTCTGCCTGCTGGTAAAGTGGCGATACATGCATACGCATGCAGAGGCAGCCAGGAACAGCTTTAGAAGGAACTACATGACTCAGGAAAAAGAGGCGCTTCCTACACTCCCCTGTGCATTCATAAACAATTACTTTGAAGAATTTGCCCAGCCCTAGCATCTGTATATCAAATACAAACAAGTATAGATGATAAAGTGATTAGTGAGCAACTGTTGCATTCAACTGGAAGAAATGCTTCAAGAATAGTCAGTACTTTATTCAGTGATACAGCCATGAAGTAACTTTTGTTAAAACTAACTTTCCATTTTCCCCTCTTGTATTTCTACTGCTTTCTGGTTGAATCAGTTTCTGTGAGTTTCTATGCGTATAAACAGTGTTTTGTGGCATAACTTTAGTACGCTCTGTAATATTCCTTCAGTCCTTAGTAATCTGCTTAATAGTTGGAAATGTAATGCTAAGCATGTTAGTTATAGATATATGTGAATTAAATAGTTACTCTATCAGAATCTGCTGTGATTGCATGTGAAGTTAATATCTGGATTATTTCTTTATGTAAAGTAGAATATTCTCTGCAGAACAGGATATAAAGAAATTGAATAGTGCCAAATTCAGTGTACTGAAGGAGAAGCTAGATAATCTCAATAAATTTATAACAGGGCTTAGGGGAATCTGTGTTGCATCTCAGTTCATGCTGTTTTATATGTGTTGTTGCAACTTAATATCATTATACTTTCAGCATATTCTTTCCATATTTACTGGGATGTTACCTCCACATTTACTTAGAGGGGCTTAGTAAATGCTTAAAACTATAGCACTTCATGAAAAGTGCACCTTGTATTTTCATCAGATTCTTGATATATATTCAAAATAAGAGTTTTGCAGTACTTCTTTTACATTATGAAATATCTGTATCAAAAATATTTTGCATGTTTAATTTCATAGATTACAACTAATAAGCTGCTTTTTTAATATAGGTATAAGACTGAGGGTGCAAGTGGGAAAGAAAGGGAAGCCATTCTAGAGGAAGATGATGATCTTTGGATGAAAATCCGACACAAACACATTGCAGATGTGTTGGAGTAAGTGTCATTTACATTTTTTACTATTGTAAGCACAGTTACGGAATTTGTTGTTGTTTAGTCGTTAAGTCGTGTCCGACTCTTCGTGACCCCATGAACCATA